CTCATCAACTCAACTGTAAATTGTTACGCCTTGCCACTAATCTTGTACTGTACTTAAATTCATAAAGTCTTCTGAACAAGAACCATCAAGATTTCACAGCTCTAGCATCACTCCTTCATAGTCAGCCTATGAACTTTTCAAAGCCCACCTTTGTACAACGCTCAACAATATAAAATTATTAAATTATATGATAAGACAAATGTAAAAAGTGTGAGAAAAAAACTTATCATAGATCATACAGTTACATCTAACCGGTTCAATTGTAAATTAATAAGAAATAGTTGCTTATCTAGTACTGCACTTAAATTCATAAAGTCCAGGTAGCAAAGCAAAGAGCTTGTGTAGACAATTCCCATGAAAGTATTTATAGAAAAGGCACATGGAAGATACTTTGTGGTTGTGGGTAGTAACTAAAGCCAAGAAGCCAGGTCAGGACCAATAATATTGCTGATTCTTTGGATATTATCAAGACTCTCTAAATATATAGCAGGATATATATGTAGCAGCAATATTTTAAGCATGGGTGAATGGTAGACTTATAGATATGTTAGATTCTGTAGAGAAAAATTGCCTAGTATGACAGAGTGAACCAACTTTCTTGGCAACAGACCTAGCAATGGATTCAATATAATCTTTCTACTTCATGTCAGTTGAGAATGTTTGCCCGAGAAAGCATAACAAGTCACTCTCCTAGAAGTTAATATCAGACGTGCTGATGTTAGGCAGAAAGGGCCCTCTCAGATGATTAATAGAGAGCAGTTTAGTTTTGGAGGTTTTAAAATTAACAAGGCATTCTTTGCCCCAGTTAACAACATCTTTTAGATCAGCTGCCAATTTGATCTTATCGAACTGATCAGACTTAGTATTGAGACAGGAGGAAATGGTTGAGTCATCAGTATAGATACCAAGATGGGGGCTGATGCTATCAGGAAGGTCACCGATGAAAATTAAAAACAAAGTGGGACCAAAGATAGAGCTGTGGGGGACATCTGCATTAGTACAAAAGGATCTAGAAGAGTGGCCATTCAGGATAACTTTCATTTCACAATTTGATAAGAAAGACTGAATCAGTTTAAAAATTCATCCAGAGACATCATAACTTTTCAACATGGGAAGAAGACCGGTATGTCAAAGCAACAGCCTGAGCTTTATCAATCTTATCTAAAGCGTGATAGATCATTTCTCCAATAATCATGAATACATCACCAGTTGACCTAGAGAAATGAAAGCCATATTACTTGTCTGAAAGAAGGCCCTGCGATGTGAGATGCTTAACTAATTCAGCATTGATTATTGATTTCTTTCATACTCACACACACACACATACATACACATATTTAATCATTTCACCCCCTAGCAAGGCAATAAAGCCACTAAGGCAAAAAGAGTTACTGAGTGTGAAAGAATATGAGAGAAAGAAAAAAATTATTAAGGAAAGAGAACAATACAAGAACAGGAATTAAGAATGCCAAAGATAATGATTGACATTACATTTAAACTTTTGAAGACCAAAGTTAACTGGAAAGCAAGAAGCTGAAAGAGAGTTCCACAAACAAAAAGTGTGAGAGAAGAAACTCTTAGCATAGAACTTACGGTTACAACTAATATTTAGAGAGAGAGAGAAAGTGATGAGTAGACACCGTTCCAAGCTAACCCTGAATAGATTCAAAAACAGATTTTGTGAGATTCAGGGAATTCCAACTCTTCATTTTAGTGCATGACGAACATTTATTTTTTGTAACAGAATAAGAAAACATAATATAAAATAAAAAAATTCATTTGAACCAGTATCCTTATCTTTGTTGTATTGATCCCATTTTTTCACCTTTAGATGTCACTATTGAGAAGAGATCAGAATAATATCAAAATGCTAGACAAACATTAGAAAAAGCAGAATGCATGGAAGTATCTCCTAAAAAGGAAGTAGTACTCATGAGTTTATAGAATAAGGAAGGTAGTAGTATCATTAGAAGTTTAGAACTATAAGCAAAAATTATCGTACTTGGTGATTTTATGTATATAGATCATGCATCTTATATTAAAATGAGCACTTTTTAGCTTGCAAAATTGTTTAAGTAGTGTGGTTAGTCTACACAGTTATATATATATATATATATATATATATATATATATATATATATATATATATATATATATATGCACATGGAGAGAGGTATTGGAGGTCATTGAAAGAAATTCAAAACAAAAATAATAATTAGTGTATATTAATAGATCAATAGGAAAAATTAGAAGCATGATGAGAAAAATGTTAAAAATTAGAATTTTTAGACAGATTTTTATGTTTATGCATTCTTTTTATAGATGCAAATATTTAAGTAAATGCTCTGTTTATAATAAATAAATTATTTTAAGACATTTTTTTTAAGTAAAAAAAATGTCTTAAAATAATTGTCGGACTTTGTCCATTTCATAAGGTTAAAAAATACAGGCACACATTAACGTGTGCATATATGCAAAACCGTGTCTATATATTTGAATATATATATATCTATAGACTTGTGCAAGAAAATGAATACATATGCATATAATGTATTCTTAGGCACTAAGAATTCAATCAAACATCTTTTATTGAGATTGACTGACAAAATCTGTTTGATCTTTTCATTAAATTTATCCAGTTTTCTCATGTCATCACACATCTGGATTTAAATTTTTGAAGGAAATGTTCAAAGTTCACAATATTCTTGTTCAAGTATAATCATTAGTATTAAACCTTTATTAGTTGATAGGATGTACAGTTAGCAATAATGATAATGTTAATATTAACCATTTCCCTTCCAGGAAACATTTGGCATTCATTGACCAATCAGACAGTACTGTTCTCCATTGAAATTTATAAAATCTTTCTCTTAAAATATTATTTTTAGGAAAACAGGTTTCTCAAGTCCAGTATCTTTTATTGCTTTTTTCAGTATTGATGCAGGTTTTGTTCCAAACATTCTATTTGAAGTTGTGTGGAATGTTAACATCTTGATTATGTCATTATTTTCTATTCAAGTTACATGTGCTATGCATTTTAATTTGTTTAATTGTTGCCGCTGTTGGTTGTCCTCAAGTGATGTGGTTTCTGTTATTTGGCACAGTTTTGGGGATTCTGTATTGCCAGACCATAATGTTCAAAGAAGGATGATCTTTGCAAGGACTGTATGACTATTAGCAAAGAAAATGAAATAGGTAAGCAGAGATCAAATTCTAGCCTAGTCTACTGCATTCATGTTTGCACTAATGTTATCTCTCCTCTTGCTAGCTATGGGTCAAATAGCAGAGTATTCTGGTCTCTTGAGGCTATAGGGGCAGCCTATCAAAGAGAAGGACAAGTTTGATTTCCAAACCACAAAGAAGACAATCAGAAACCACTTCGCTAGTTTCTGAAGAGAGACATCATCATTTATGTTCTGAAAGGATATGCCATTTTATATATATAAAAATGAAATGACAAAATGAAAAAAGCAGTTAATGCTAAAATACTCTATTAAACTTATTGTAAGGAAAGACTCAAAAAACTTGAAGCAATTCTTATACAAAAAAACACAGGGGAAGGCATTTAAAAATTAAAAAAAATATTTAAAACATACAAGGTAGACTCTAGAAGTTTTGAAAATTTTTCAGGAGACAGATTTATTTATTTTAAAACAATGCAAAACACTAATGTCTTTTAATGTCGGACCCTCCAAATTCAATGCTCTTGTAGTGCTCCAGCTAGTTATTGAAGGACTCTTCACAACCCTCCAAGGTTTCCAGGGTCTTCATCATAGACTTTTCTGAAAAATGTTAATCAATAAACAGTCTTGATTATTTCATAGGTTTCTGTGGCATTTTATTTGAGATTAACACAAAATATTCAGAGAGCTTGAAATTCAGTTGTGAATTGAAACACATTTAAAGTACCATTATACATGCTATACCTTATAGGCAAAATGTTCAGAGAAAACCTCTAGATTTAATAATTAGTAAGTTATATACATTCATTCCGTTTGAGGAACGCTAGAGGGCACAATGGCTGAAACGTTGTGATAACAACAACAAAGATGAAGACACTAGTCTGAATATAAATAATGTAAATAAAAAGGGCACTTTTATTCAGAATCAGAAAGAGTAGTAATATCTAGAACACATAATGAGGAAGGAGAGCTTGGAGTATTTGATATTCACAGGACATATTGAAGTCAAAAGAGACTGGGGAAGGTAGTAGGCTACCTACTTGATAAAAATATGAACAGGAAGTGAGAGGTATGACAAAAAGACAAATATTACTAAGAATTACAGGGAATAGGAAGTTGTGGAAATCCATGACCACCTACATTCTGAAGGGACATGGCACATAGAAGAAAATGCCACATTGTTTAGTACTGATTTAGTAAGAAATGATGATAAATTGAAATGAATAAGCAAGACAAAATATAATTCAAGTTAAAATTATGCATTGAGAGATAGAAGGTGAATCATGTTTAGTCTTGCTTATGTAGTTTTTATTATGGTGAAGTAAAATTGTTATTTGTTTTCTTTTTTTGATGACACCAGATCATGGCAAAGCATGTCAAAGCAAAGAAAAAAAATATTTCCAAATTGTTTTATATTTTTACCATTCCATTGGATTCTTATCCATCATTACTCACCCTCTCTATATATACATGTGTGTTTGTGTATGCAGGTAAGCAGTCATGTATATATATATATATATATATATATATATATATATATATATATATATATATATATATATATATATATATATATATATATATGTGTGTGTGTACTTAGGCTAGGCACATATCTCGATACTCATTTGAACTGATAACTTCTTGGATTGCAGAAACAGCCGGAATTAATATAACACTTGGATGTTCTCAATTTATCTACAAGAAATATTTTTTTTTCCATTCCTACCATTTTGTCATTTCTATATTCTCTGTTAACCTATGACAGTTGAAGTTGTCAATTTATTCAAGATGAACTTTTTTTCATTCAATGTTGTGAAGATTTATTAGCCTCTCTTTCAATTACCAATCATCATTCACTTTCATTCATCCAACACTCTTTTGCTGCATTTTCATTCCCTCTTCCTATCTCTGCCTTTTTCTTTTTTTCTTTTTTATCCCATGCATCACTTTGTGATATTTTTCTTATTTCGTTAATTTGCTTTTTCTTTTACTTACTTTCTTCTTGTCCAATTGTTTTTTTTCTTTGCTTAGCTCTTTTATTTTCTCATCTGCATTTTTTTCTTCATTACTTAACTTCTTATTCCACGTGGCAATTCTTCTTAAATTTTTTGTTCATTCTTCTTCCTTGTTCATTCACATTGATTTTCCTTTACTCTCATTTTACACTCTAATTAACTTTTCTTTAAAAAAAAAAAACTCCTTTTCTTTTCTAAACTCTCTTTTCCCCTTATTTCTAATCTTTTTTTTTATTCATATCTTTTTTCTTTCAGTTTGTCTTTTTTTTTAACTTTCTGTCAGTTCATATCCTTTCTCTTTTCACTTCTTTGTTTACTTGTTTCTTTCTTTTATTTATTTTTTGTCAGTTGCTCTTCTTTTCTTCCCCTTTTTTTCTTTCTCTCCATTTCTTTCTTCCTTTTCTCTTTTTTCTTGCTTTTTCTTTCTCCCTTTTTCTCTCTTTTTTTCTTTTCTTGCCTTTTCTTTCTCTCCTTTATTTCTTTCTTTCTTTCCTTTTCTTTCTCGCCTTTGCGCTATTTTTTCCAACTTCTCTTCCTCTTTTTCTTTCATTTTTGTCTCTTTTCATTTATTTTGTACACTTTTCTTTCAGCTTCTTCTTTTCTTTTGATTTTGTATCCACCCATACTTATTTCTATCACTATTTGTTCTTTCTTTCTTTTTCTCCTTTCTTTCCCCCTAATTCTCTCCTTGTCTTTCTTTTCCTTTGTATGCTTTTCTTTTATTTACTTTGTCAGTTTATATTTATTTCTATAAATATGTCTGTTCTTTCTATTCACAACTGCTAAGTGTTTTTTCTTTTTGTTTTAAAATTCACGTCCGGCATTGTCTCTCTACTCTTATTCTTTTTTCTTTCTCTTTCTTTTTATTTATTCTCCAAACGTCTGCCATTTTTTTTTAAAATTCTGTTGCTCCTGGAGATAATTCTGAACAGAGCAGATGATAAAAAATAGGTCAGTGTGGAGGTAGTGATGGTGGTGGTAGGTAGTGAATGTGAGAACAAGTAAATGAAACAAAATGACAAAATATTTCAATCAATTGACAGGATTAATTAGTTTCACTGATTGATTTTTTTTTTTTTTTTTAAATCTCAAATGCAAAATAATTCAACCTCTAAAAATAAAGCCAAAACAATTATATTTTACTAAATAAGAAATCAAGTTTTTGAAAACATGAAAAAAGTAACAGCTGTTTTTGTACTTGGTCATGGTAGACATGATAAAGGTGTTCCTACCTAATTCAGTCTTCATTTTCTAGCATCTCCACATCCTTGTGGGGGATGAACTATTTTTCACACTACAACTCCTTTCCCACTGATGAAACATCACAAGCCTTGTGTTACTTTATTGTAAAGTCCATGGAAAGTGTTCAGATGAACTACATTCCATAGTTCCATCAGTTCTTCTCTAAGCCCTGCCATGCCCCACATATTGTAGCAAACCACCCTCATTCCCTACATATTTCATTAGTGAGACCTAATTTCTACACAAGCAGCTTCCCATGAACTGCTGCTTTGTTGAATTGACTTTCATGAAGTTATTTCTTTGATCACTACAATCTTATACCTGTTTAAGTCTAGGGTTAACCATTATCTTTCCTATATGTACCCATAAACTGTGCCACTTACTCTGTAAGCCTTTACCTTAAGTGGCTCTTGGGCCTCGTACACAGAGAACATCATTGTAAATAAAAATCTGCTGATTATGATTAGTGAGCTTAGTTTAGTTTAGTACAGCACAAAGCTAAATGGGGGGTTGATTGTGTAGTATGTGAGTTACCCCAGCAAATACTGGATTTAATGTCCATCAAGAACTATTGATCTAAGAAGAGTTGATCTGTGGTGACCCCAATATGTACTGGGGTCAGCCTAAGATACCAAAGAAAGTTTCCTACTCAGTGTCACCTCAGAATTTTATAAGACATATGCACTTTGAAGGTTGATCTGAAAGGTGACTTAAAACCACCAAGGGCAGAATCGGTTGCTGGAAAGTGAATTGAAATAAACAGAAAGCGTACCCAACTGAATTTAGGATATGCACACACTAGACAATAAAATGACAGGAAATTATATAAATGTCTAAACTGTGAATACCTTACATCCTCCCAAGAAGATGATCACACATTCAAAGAAAGACCTGAAACCACATACCACCAATTCAGCTGACATTAATCTGACAGAGTCCAGAAATGATGAAGCATTTATTTTACATATAAAAAAAATTAGTTTTATATTCTTACCAGACACTAGCCGCATGGCCCGGCATTGCCTGTGCTTGATTCAAAAATCGTAAAAACTCATACAGCAATCACTATCATTTGACTTGAAATATTTTTACCCTTCCTTGCCTTTAAGAGTGCCCTTTGCTGTGTTGATGTTGCTACATGCCTTACTTCTTGCCTATCTCACACTGTGAATTTTTTCTAAGCTCTATACTAAACATTAAATCTGTTATGAAAAAAGAACTAAACAAAATGAACACAAAACGATCAGCTTTAAAAAAGGACTCGTAACTGGAAAAACCGAATGAAAAGAATGTTAACAACAAATACTTTTTCACACCCAACTCAGTTCTGCGGAATCAGAATCAACATTGTGTTTAAGCAAGCGAATGAGCCAATTGGAGTAAAGTGACATGCAGATTTAAATTTTTCCCACTTGTGACGAATGCAGCTATTGATTTTTTTTGCATGCTAGCATGCTAGTTAACATTCGTGTCAGTCAGCTGTTGGCTCTCACACTGGCCAATAGAATCTTCGTGCCTATTCATGGCAGCCAGCTATACTACATGAAAACTGCCGTAGAAGCATGAAAAAATCGATTATTTCCACTATCGATAGGAGTTGGGAAATACAAGGTTGGTCTTGGCCTTCCCACTAACTTGGAGCATTTGCATGTAAGTTTTGCTACAAATCATTCGAAAATTGCGGCCGTGCATTCGTTACACACACACATACATCCTGCCTTTTATAGATAGAGATTACTAATTTAAAAGTACAATTGTTTTGCACCAATTGGATGGCTTCAGCACTCTTCAAAATGAACATTTGAAATCCTGAACTTGAACAGTCACCATCAGTATTTTTGTTTTTTAAACAATGGTATTCAACCTGTACAAGACTCAAGACAAAAGATTAGGGATTACTTTCAGAGTAATCCTTATATAGTAATATTGATCAATCTTAATTTCAGAGGCCTCTTCTCTTAAAAGTCTTATCTTCTAGAAATATTTCAAAGTCCTTCAAAAGGACATTATCAGACTCACATCATTTTCTTTTTGATGGAATTTTATATATGTAGGAGGAGGAGGGTGAAAATATAAACAAAAGCATCAGTTATATTTATTTATCTATATTTTCACTGACTCGTACAGATATATATTATTCCATTAATAAGAACATTATTAATTTGAAGTCCTTTTCAAGGACAAAATGTGTTACATGTAGTTTTTTTTTTCCACCAAAATGATCTGTAACAAAAAATACATTTACAAAAAGATATAAATGAACTTTAGGAAAATTCTGTTTGAAACAAAAGAAAGAGTACTTAACTGTTATGTATTTATCAGTCATCCTATATAGCAGTGAATGTTAAAAATCTCATCATGGATACAGAAGTGATTTGAAGCAACAAAAACATGATTCTGCATATATGCAAAAAAATAATTTGATGTTAACTGACTGAGATAGATAGATAGATATGAACTGAGATAGATAAATAGATATGTACTGAGATAGACAGATATAGACATATAGCTAGATAGATATGAATGAAAATGGATAGATATTAAAAAATTTTATGGTGTGGTTCTCCCACTACAAGGCCCAGGGGCCACTCAAGGTAGAGGGATACATTTGGAGGCCATCTGTGTGTATAGGAGCGGAAGATAATGGTTAACCCTTGAACAAGTTAAGATTGTAGTGATTGGGAAAACATTCATTTCAGAGTCAGTTCCACAGGTCAGTGATTTGCAGGAAGAAGCTGCTCAAGTGGAATTTACTTCTCACCAATGGAATACAGGGGGAATGTGGGTGATTTGCTACTATGTAAGTGGCATACCATGTTCTTGCTGAGAAAGTTTGCCTCAGCAGGACCAGGGATTGTAGTTTGTCCAAGCACTTTTGATGGAAGCAGAGGTAGAGCAGTGAGAGGCTTGCCACATCCTTCCTGTGGGAGAAGGGTTGAAGGGTGGAGAATAATTCATCACCCACAAGGCCTCAGAGATACTTTTGAACTGTCAAGGCTGGATAGTAAGGTCTGGACAGCTCCCGCCCAAATATGAAAACAGTACTCCATTTTCGGCCTGATCAGGCTCTCATAAATGTCATGGATAGCAGGAGTCAAGTACTTACTGGAGCAGTACAGAAAGCCAACCATTTTACCTACCTTCTTAGCAATGGATTGTATGTATAAATTCCATTTGAGGTGGGGTGTGAATTTGGGGCTCAACAGTCTTTCAAAGCATGGTGTTTCTGCGAGAGAACCTCCGTTCATATAGATAGATATATAGATATATAGATAGATAGATATGAACATAGATAGATAGATGGATAGATAGATATGAACTAGCATAAATAGCTAGCTAGCTAGCTAGCCAGATAGATAGATAGATATGAGCAGAGATAAATAGATAGATATGAACTAACATAAATAGCTATATATATATTGTTGGAATTGTTACCTGATGATCTGGAGTCCTTTAAAAAGGATTTTGGTGAAATAAATTATTGTAATGGTACCTTAAAGTGGTCTGTTTTTCATTAAATTTATTTATATATATATATATATATATATATATATATATATATATAACGTCATCCACAGACAGACTGTTTCGCTGTTTCACAGCTCATCAGTGTGGCTAGACATCCGGTTGCCTCTAGCTATGATCGAAACCCGACTGAATTGGTGTCAGTCAGAGATTCTAACCATTAAGCCGTTGGCGCACGGTAGGGATGAAAGTGAATTTTTTTAGCGTATTTATTTTTTTTAGAAACATGCCATATATATATATATATATATATATTGATAGATATGAATTGATTGAGATAGATATGAACTGATGGAAAGAGAAATGGTGATAGATTGAAATTGGTTTCAGATAAGAGATCATCTGTTATTGTATTATTATTAATATTAAAGTAATCTTTGAAAAGAGAA